ATGTGGAGACAGAAAACACATTCCCTGAGCTGGAGCTGGTCCTGCCTCTCAGGCTGTCAGTAACGTTGATCCCGCCAAGGCACTTGGCTATTTACATCCTTTATATTTCCCCTTTTGACAACTATAGCAGAGATCTTTCCTCAGTATTGCTACACGTCAGTGTTTGCAGCTATCTGCTTTGCTCCTCTGCCAGGAATGGCAGACCCAGACAAGAACCTGCATCTCTGCTACTCTAGTGTACAGTCTGGTACATTGTATCATTGGTGCCACAAGAGAGCACAGCAGTGTGGTCTTATCAGGCAGCTGAGGCACAGATATACATGAATGAAAGGCAGGGTAGAAAGGGACAGCAATATCTTAAATCACGCCAGTACACTTCAGTGAAAGATACCTGTTAAATAACTAAATTAATCACTCTGCTATCCATGTGCATTCACATTTACCCAAAGTAAATAGGATACACAAAATTATAATTAAAACATTACATCAGAAAGTCCTTAACTTATCCACCTTCCTAAATTACTTTTATGAAAGCGTTTGTTAGGGTTTTTTTTTACATTACAAACATAATTTTTTCAGTTTTCATTAAAGAAAGTTAGTTGCATATAATATCATGCTGATTGTACACCATTCATTTTATATTTATATTCATTACTTTTACACAATTAGCTAAAGAAATACTAAGAAAGACTAAAAATGGGTTTCTCAGTCTTCTACTGGACACTTACATTTCTCTCTGCAAAGCAGAAAGCATACAATCACTCAGTAAACAATCTTCTATTATGGCAATAATGAATGACATAAAAGACAGTCTAAAATGAAGCCAAACAATAATAATGCAAGAACATACCAGCTGCAGGGGTAATACAGAAATCCAGATAATCTGGAACAGGGAACCTGTGTTTCCACAGGAGGTATACAAAAAGTTGTGGTGGAGAGAAGGAAGCCACTTCATTTGTGGGACATCAATAGCAGCTGATTTGCTCTGGGGCTCAGTCACTGTTGTAAGTCTCCTTTCCACCTACACAAGCAAGAAGATTAAGAAAGACACGGGCCCGCATTCTGACGAGGAGAGACTACTTGTTTAAGGAACCACCCCTTGGTAAGATCTCTTTTTTTTTCCTTGCCCCACCCCCCTGTACTTCAAGCATTTTTAAGCCTTTAGAAATCTGAGTTCTGAAGAAACTGTTCTTTTCTCCTTTATTTTATTTTTAATAGATAATTAACTAACCTAAGAACAGTACCTTTATTAGCAAACTGAAGATCAAGGGTTTTTACTGAAGGTATTGGAAGCCATGGGAATTTTTGGCATTTGTGCAGACTGAAGACATTGCTTTAGTGTTCCTTTGGTTTCTTACTTCCCAACCTATTTTAATTGGCAATAAATTAATGTTCCATAAATGTTTTTAGCCCATAGTGGTAACTGCTCAATGGTATCACTGTCTTTGTCTTGACCCACAAGATTCTCCATCCTATTTTCTTCCCTTATCCTGTTGAGGAGGAGGAGGGAGAGAGGAGCCAAGTGTGCATCTGGCAGCCAAGCAAGGTCAGCCCATCACAGAAGGCAAGATTAAAACACAGCCTTCATGAAAAGGACTCCCCTGCCCCCCTTGTGTGCATTGTCTCTTCCTCTTGTTCAGTGTAATGATAAGATTGTCACTACCTGCCCTGAAAAAAAATCATCACCACCACTGCTATGTTTTTTGCCAGCAGTGACCAGTATCCAACATTCAGACTTCTTCTTGTGTCTCTGATTATCTTAGGAATTGGCTTTTCAAGGCCATTCCTTGTTTTCAGCCTCTATTGCTTCTCCTGTTTGACTTCAGTTTATGCTGAAATAATTACAAAACTCTTTAATGCCTAATTAAAAAAATAATTAGGGCACTGCCTAATAATTCTGCTGATTTAGATTAGCATATAATTTATTAGTCACACAGAAAGAAAGGTGGAGCTAATTACTTCATTGAGTTTTCCCCTGCAGATGGAATAACCGGTCTTCCTTTATTGCCTCCATAAAAATACTATTCTTGGACTATTTCTATCATAATTCTGTATTATTTTAAGTCATTGATGGGTTTCTGTAGGATTTGGGAAATTAGTAATTTCACACACAGAGAAACCTACAGACCAGGACACAAATCAGGAGATTCAGATTCTAGCTCCATCTCAGCTATCCCTTTGAACAAATGATTATTGCTGTATTTTGTGATGAAATACCATATTTCTTCAGGACTTCTGTGTTTAGTTTTGTGGTTTCTCTGGTTTAACTCCTGATTCTTCAGAGTTAAAGTGATTTTTTTTGAGTTTTGCCATAGTTTTGTAAAGTTCCTGATTTTTTTTCCATAAAATATAATTTTTATATATGTAAAGGAAAAAAAAAAAAAAAAAGCTTTTACTTTCCTAAGTCATACTCTTATCCATTATTGCCTTCATCTTTACTGTATATTTTTTTAATTGGTAGAGAAATGAGCTAGCACATAGAGAAATCAGTACTTCTGATAAATTCAGCGAAGTCTGGTAGAAGTCCTAAAGGCTCACACTTTTCCAGACAGAGCTAATATTCTGTCTGGAACAGCTCCCAAAACAGGCATGTTTTAACAAGTACATTTATGATTAAGTTGAATTGTGAAATCAGAAGTACGCAGGGTACTAGAAATACAGGGTTTCAACTTTATTCAGAAAGGGAAACAAACACAGACAGGTGCAAAATCCTCCTAGAATTTCCTGAGGAGCAGTCCTGTTTCCAAAGGAGGAAGCCAGCCCTGCTGAACGAAGTGATCAGTTGTCCTTGTCTCCAGCCCCAGGGAGTGTGATGGGCAGCCACAGGGGTTGCAGAGGGCATGGGGGCTCCAGCAGCCTGCAAAGTCCTCTGAGGCGGGGTTTTGGATGTCTGTGTCCAGGTGGTGTCAGCAGGGGTGGCCCCTGTGAGAAGAGGCCTGAGCAGCAGGGTGGGCACTTGCCAGCCAGCCCAGGTGAACCCATTCCATGTGGGCAGAGAGCAGTTCCTTTCCACTTTCAGGACATTGTCCCCAGAGCCCAGTCCACCTGGCCCACAGGAGAGCTAGAGCTGTAGATAGTTCCTTTCTTTTCCTGTTTTCCTGACGTGTTTTCCAGCACAGACATCACAAGGATAAGCCTGTGGTTTGATCTTTCCATGACAAAGACATCCCAAGTCACTATAGAAACAGACTATATGCCTGCACAGGCCCTACTTGCCAAGCATGGTACCCTTGGTGTGAGAGAAGGTGGGAAGAAAAAGCTTTTCTCCTTTAAAAATGCCTTCACCTTCACCTTGCAATTTGTAATACCAAACACATCAAACAGCTCTTCTGAAAGAGGCTAATCTTTTCCTCATGGTACAGTCAATATGAGACTGTTTCCTCGCTCTCTTCTCCAGAGTCCATCCTAGGCAAGCAAGAGAGGATATAAGCATTCCCAGTGCCATAATATCATCAGGACAATGTGAGCTGCATGAGAGCCCACAAGCTCAAGAGCAGGCTGGACAGATTTATGGGCTATAGCTATATCCAGAGTTATTAAATGCAAAGGCAACACTTCTGGCTGTGGAAGTGCCTGAGCTAGATGGTGGAGAATGGAGAACACCTGCAGGGAGCACCAAGAGATGCTCTCCATACTCATACCACTGCTGGAGACAGACTCCTAAGCTAGGTGGCCTGGTAAAGCTCTTCCTCAGTTCTTTTTATGGCCACTGTTGAACAAAATCTTTTCCAAATTTTACTGAAGCTAGCTAGATAAAAGTCCTAAGAAAGCTGTTTTCTATGAATCAAGTCCTTGGCATAGCCTTTCCCTCTTCTAGCGATAGTTACATGACCATTACGTCAACTTTCCATAGTCACATTCATACAATTTGCTTTGATGGGAGAATTAATAGAACTAGTCCAGTTGTCTCCTGGCAACTAATTTGTGCAAAGAAAACATGCCTTTCTAACACAGAGGTTCTGTGTAGATCAAATGCATTTTTTGAGGTTCTGAAAAACATTTGGGAAAAATACTACAGCACAGGAGACACTTCTGCTAGTTATATGACACTTTCCTTTTGTTTTACAGGTCAGGATTGAATGATTCAGAAGGAATAGCTTCAGACAACATTTAATCTACTTTTTGGACTGCATAATAGAAGTGTGGCACCCAGAAATTATGGATAGAAACTACTGTCTGTCTAGTTAAATAGTTGATTCTAACTGTCTTTCCTCTGTATCATTGTACTATGACATGGATCAAGATCAGAAAAGTTAGAAATTTTTCTCATCTCATGAATGTAATTTTGTCAAAATGATATTTTTGGGGATTTTAACTATTAATTGAACAGGCACAGTCATAAAAACATGCCAGAGGAAAGAATAAAAGTCTTATTTTTACCAATTTTTACCATTTTACCATTGCTCTTTTACTATTTCCTAGTTCTACCTAAAATTCAGTAATTCACTCAGTAATCAGCTTACCCAATTAGATGTAGTGTTTCTATTAGTTGCAGAAGAATACAGAACACTGTGAATGTTTTCAGGCTTCTAGAAGTACTGAGATTACCACTAAATGCTCAGACTTAAACAGTGCATTGACACAGTGCTTCTAATAATTTTATATAATATTATTTTTCTTTTTTTTTTTGTGAGCTTCATAACTTTTCCAAAGATGCCTGGAAAATGGAGGAGGCTAAGAAAACTACCTTATCTCTGTTAAGATGCTGTCTGAACCAGCCCATTGAATCATAATAAGTTCTCAACTTGAAAATTTGCATTCATTGCCACGACACCAAATCTGATTTTGTGATCAGTTTGAACAAGGACCTATCTGCCACTGCCTTACCTCCCATCAGCTGTCCATTGCTAAAGCAAACACAAGCCAGAGTTACTCAACATAATTCTCACAAGTGCAAGATAAGAGCAGATGGAAGCTAAACCTTAATCTACCCACTCTCCTTTGCGATACCACATCTGAACAAAGTGATATATTTTGAAAAAACTCCTCAGGACCATTGATTTAGTGACTTATACTTTATTAGTTCCGTACATTTCTGAACATTTTACTCAAGAAAAAAATTTCAAAACACAGTTAAAATTTCTTAAGGCGTAGCATCATCATGACACTAAAGAGCCTTTAGAGAGACCAGTATTTTTAATATATAATTTCTCATCAAATATTTTATCCCTCCCTATTATCTGTGTCTTGGCATGTTTTCTTTGCCAAGAGAAGTCAATCTGAAGGAAGTTTTTAATGGTCTTTCTAATAGCCAGAGAGAGTCATCTACAGTCTCACTTCAGAAACTTAACACAAAAAAAGCTGTTAACAAATGATCATAATAACAGATAGAATTATTATTGTTGCTAAGCACAAGGATCATTTTTATATGTAGTTTCATTATCTGGTTTTCCTATGATATCTTTTTAAGTTAAACATATTTTGAAGTAAAAAGGTTATAAAAATCATAAACACCAGATTGGGGAAAGCCACAGCGGCATGAAGTCAATCCATGGCTATTCTGTCTGAGGAACTGACAGAGCTGGACCTTTGGGATCATCAAATCTGCTGTTTGTTGTGAGCTGCATGATCATATGGATTCCATAGGTCAGGATCCACAGTAAAATTATAGATGTCAACAAGCCCATCCAAATTCCAGGAGTGAAGAAACCTGTGCAGTCACTTGCATAGGAAAACTGGTTGTTTGTAACGTTGAAGCCTTGAATCTGAAAATGAAGAAAAGTAGATAGAAGAGTGCAATTAAGCATAGTCCTTACTTTTAGGACATATGTAGTAATTATAAAAACCCACAGCTTTTAACTGTCAATCACACTCTCTGCCCATTAAAAAAAAGAGTGAGAAAAAAGAATTTCTGCAAAACAATTTTCCAGATCTCCTTTTCACCCAGGAAAGTAAAGATGTAGAATCCATTTCTTTGGTCAGCAGTAGGTTTGCCATTTCAGAAATTTGTATTACTTATAGAAGTAAAGTCCCAGAGGGGACACGTGGTCAATATTCTGCATTCATTGTATTCTGATCAGTATTCCGTATTCACATAATCAGTATTATCAGTATACTGATAATATACAGTATACATAGATCACCAGCTCTATGACCACTTCAGAACCAGGAAACTCAAAGCACTCAAAGGAATGAGAGTTAAGACTCCTTAGATCATAAGATTTGTTGAAATAGTCTGACAGTTTTGGGTTTTTTTTGTCCTTGACAGACAAAATTCCTAGAACCTACTTTAAAACACGTCTAATGAAGGTGACCTTTTTTGGCTGAGTTTAGTGAGAGTTCAAGGAAAAAAAAGTTGTGAAATTTTTCTTCCTCCCTCCTTGGAATTCAAAGACTCAAAACAAAAGGAAGGGCTTGCTTTATTGAGGTATGGGGCATGTGTTGTCTATTAACTTATAAAACCTATATAAGCTTTTCCAGCAGTTAGAAATGTTTGCAATATCTCTGATTTGACTGAATTCACAATGTCTACCACTGACTGTCGTCCGACCATATTATTTTCCTCAGAAAAATCAACCAATGTGGAGATATATTCTCTGTCTGGATCCCAATTGTACCAAAACATCAACAAACTGAATGCCTTTGAGACCGCTGACGTCCTAGAAATTTTGTTTAAACCAATCAAAGGATTAGAAAACTATGAAGAAAGGGAAGACAATCCCTCCTCTACAAACATGCACATAATGGCATAAGCACTGATTCCTTTAGAAGGAAGGAACAAAACTGGTGGAAGAAGAGGAAGAAAATAATTATTCTGATTCATTTTGATTCATTCTTAAATAATTTTATAAAGAAAAATTAAGACTGGGATTCTTATTCATTTACAGAATCTTTGAAATGGATGTGTACGGAAAGCACCAAATATCATAAACCCACTGCTAAAGAAACGACATGTTAAAAATTACTATTTTCCATAAAATATTATCAAATCAAATTTCAAAAGGATTATTTATTTAATTCACTTCTCTTACCCAGCAATAAGCAAAAAGCAGAAGATCATGGGTTTCTACTTTTATGTCTTCCCAAACCATAATTATTCTATGATTTACAATTAAAAAAATGGAAAGCTTGAGTATATTTGTGGTAATAAAAGAGTTTGTACCTCCTAGGAAAGGTGTTGGGACAAACCGAACAAATCTACCATGCAACAAACACACCAGTAAACACTCTGGGTTTGTAGTCAGGCATGTCTCACGTCCCTAAAGTTAATGTTCATGTAATATGTGTGCTATGAGCAATGACCTTCCAGAATGGTGATTAATAAAACTGATGTGAGGAACAAAAGGCTCTTTAGATAACGTGGAGATGAAGACAATTTCAGCAATTCAACCTTTTAGAAGAATCTTTCCAAGTCAAATCATGGTGGCTAACTCGCAAAGACTGTCTGCTTTCACCAAAGGTGCTCAGACTTCTGATTAAAGCAGGATTAGTGAACATAAGCTGCAGGGCTGGACAGCTTATTTGCACAGCTTAGAGAATACATGACTGCAAAAGTCTTTGCTTGTTAAGCCACTGCTTTGACCACAAGCAAGAATGTGAATAGGAATCTTAAAATGTAACCTGAAAGACTTATTGACAATAAAAACAGACAGAAGGTAATTATTTATTTCATTTGTGTTCAAAAAAATGGATTGAAATTCTGGAAAACAATACGAATTTCCTACCACATTTACAAGGACTCTCTGAAGTACTTAACACGTATATTCAGTTTAGAAGGGCTTTGCCACTCCTGATTTAGAGCCAGAAATACTGAAATTTATTATTTCAATTCTAGTGGTCTTATATATTTTTAAATCAGAATTATGCTTTTTGAACCATCTAGGTGAAAGATTCAATTGTACATTCCTAAAATGCTATGTCTTCTTTTAGGAAGGAGATAAAGAATATGCTGGGTTATTTTATTGTTTTTCTGAAGCTATATAATTTCTCTGGAGGTGTTAAATACCAGGCAAAAATGAGAATCTTAGCAGCATATACAGAAAAGTTAAAAATACTTACATGTAGTTTTCTAATATTTATGAAGTCTTTTGTATACACGCCTTTGTCCAGTGGAAATTTTGATTTTGGTGTTTAGACCAGTCATTTGTCTTGATTATACAAGTCTGTATTTACTGTAAATTTTTAAATATTTTTGAATGTAAATTTCTCATCATATGGCCTTTACAAAAACTTCAAGTAAAATATGCTGGGTTTATGGCTCTTAAGTGCACACCAAATTTCCAATTTTTGAACTTTGAAATATTTTAGCTACAAAGAATAAGAATATTCTTGATTTTTAAGTTTTTGGCAGTTTTTCGTGGGTTTCAAAGTACTTCTGAACTGCACATACTAAAGAAAATCAGTGTTTTTGCTGGCAGCCTTGTCTTTAACTTCATTGACAAATATGAGATTCTCAAAAGCACAGAAGGTATCATGGTAGAACAGCCATTCCTGTAGCAACAGCAACCAAACCCCCACCAAACCCAGAGCAGTTTTGGTGCTCTGCAGAGGTCTGGTGACATCCCAGGCTGTGACCAAGCCTAGCCAGCATCCCACAGAGCTTCTTTTAGATGGCAGTGAGTGAGGCAGCTCCAGAACTGAAGTTAAAGGCTACACCAGTTCAACCTTGCCTAGGAAGAAGCTGTGCAAGGCTTCCTTGTGCAGCTGCCATTGCTCCTCTATTACTGTGATTCAGCTTCCAGGACCCAGCCTTGCAAAGTGCAATTGTGCCAGTTTGATTGGCACTGGATCCTGGTTTCTAACTCACTGCGTAACATTGACATGAAAATCATGTTTCTCAGTTTCAGGAACAAGATTTTGTGCTGGCTGCAACTACTGAGCACATCCCACATGCTTCTTTCACCATGCAATAGAGTTTGGGGGTTTGTAAATCCTATGCAATAACAAAGACTGATACTGAGATCACCTTTCAGTATGTATCAGTGGAAGATACCTGGAAAAGTATGATCTAGGTCAGACAGAACTTGGAAATGAGCCCAGAATGGTGACCTTCTGTTTTCTCACACCACGGAAGAATATCAGACTAGGAGTTTTCAGGTTGTGTTCTATGTTTAGGATTTGATCAGAGAAAAAGCCCTTTCTCAAGAGGAACTGGAGATTCTGTTGCCTCAACAGTGGAAGTGGCTGCTGTTCCAAATCAATAAGGAAGGTGGGAAACCACTACTTCTACTCTTGGTTAAGACCACAGTGAAAGGATGCCTACTAAGGTTGGAGCAAGGCCTATTTAAGCTTGAAGGCAGTAATATCAGTGCATATAGCAACTGACAGGAAAGAGAGGTGGTAAGTATACACTTTGTAATTTCATAGGTCATGTCCTTTCATATCTTAGTGATGTGAAACCCTAACTCCAAAGAGTTTACTAGGCAAAGTACAGTTGCATGAGCTATGGTATTTTCAGGCCTTTACAAATAAATAACATAATAAAGGACCTTCACAACATTGGTATGTATTGCAACATTGTTTCTCAAAAAATGGTGAGACATGATATTGGAATTTGTGGAAAATAAATCTAAGCACCAATGATCTTTCTTTGAGATTGCCATTGCTTAAGCTGAAGTGTCAAGTCTGGAGTCAGATTATTGAGATTTGGTTTGTTATCAAAATTATAAATACAGCATTTGTATCCAGTTATCATGGGGTTAGCTCATGTTTGACAAATAGAGTACAGTTTGGAATTATTCCTATTATTTTCATCATCTCTTCCATCAAAGAGATCCCTTAGTGAAATATTATTTTAAGACATAAATGTTATCCTCTCTTAAGTCAAGAGCAAAGCTCAAAGGAGTAAAGGTGTAATTATCTACAATTCACTTATGTAGTCTCAACTACTACTAAATAAGCAAAAAAAGCTACGTGTCATTCAAAAAAAGCCATCTGCTTTGCTTCTGGGTCATGCAGGAACTAGTACCATTCCTGATGGAAGTCCATGGCAAGCCTCCCATTAAATCTAGTTGCACTGGGCTTTGTTTCTGTCTGCAGGAGTACAGACAGTCCATGTCACTGAAAACAGCAGCCACACTAAGCTGTACTTTCCTAGGTAAACAAAGCACAAAGAAATCAAATGAAAACAAAGTAAGCAGCATAAAGCCACCCACCTAAGAGGCCCCTGTTTCCAAGAGCAGCCCAATTCATTAAACAGGCATGAGGACTTAGCCATTCTTTGCCTGATTAAGCACATTTGGTTTAATTGAGTTTTCTTTCTGTAGACAACTTCACAGTTTTGTTTTTCAAAGCTGTGCTTTCATGTTTTCCTTGTTCAGCAACTGGCCTCTTTTTTACCCCTCTACTGAATAGCTCACCTAGGGGAACAGCTTTTGTTTTATGTTTTCCCTCAGGCTGGAATGAAAGTTAGGGCATTATGAATGTGTGTCATTCACCACCTACAATAGCAAGTAATAGTTCTTGGAGTTATTTCTCAAATGGCAACACATACTCACTTGCAACTTGGAAATGAAAATATCCCAATTTTTTGCCTCATCGTTGGATGGAACCAGCCTTACAGGATAGAGATTGCTTGTTCCCACCAGCTGACAATGAAATGAATACTCTGCAGGGGCAGAGATGCCAGAAACACTAAAGTTAGCTAACTTTTCTCCATCTTGTACAATCTCAACTAAATCTAAAGTGGACCATCTTCTAGCCGAGACTTCATAGAACTTGTTGGTCATTAAAAACCTAGGAACACAAGAGAGGACAAAAAAAAAAGTCAACAGGTTAGAAGGAAAAAATTAATATACATTTGATAAAGTAACAGATAAAGGCTCACCATTGCTGGCTGCAAACATCATGGCTGATGATGACATGGCCTCCCATGTCATTAAGATTATTTCAAGGGAAGAGGTTCAGTGAATGTGTTTACTACTTAGAGTTTCACCTCACAAGCACAGCTTTCTATAATGGTGGCAGACAAGAAGCAAATGCAGTTTCATTCTTCAAGGGCTTCTGCCAGTGCTGTATTTCATCAGTTACCAACAGTTTATAATAAATGGAGGCAAAGCTGAGAAATTGTCAGTAAGACTGCAGTGGCTCTGAATAAACATTTTATGGGATTTTTGGAAAATTGCTTTTCTAATAGGTATAGGCATGATAGGCATTCTAATTTATCATTGCAATTCTTTCTTGGCTCAAATGCCTAAATGGCAATTTTCTTTGCAAAGGTCTGAATTTGGCACAGAAGACAGAGCTTTCTCTCACTGGTGGGTCAGGAGGAATTGCCAGCTACAGTTTCACAATTTGAAGTAGGCTAGGCACAAAAAATTATTTTATAATTTTGAAAGCATCTGTGTATGTGTAGTATTGCAGCAGTTTATAATCATGGAATTTATGTTACTACCAATGCAGTCTGAACAGCTCCCAACAGACATGAGTGAGAACATCCAGACATCCAGAAGTACATTCTGATCCTTTACAGATCAGGACTATGTGCTACTCTTTACCAGTTTTTATACAGTTACTTTCAGGTGTTCACGCTATTTCATAAGGAAATTGAAAGCCTTTTCCCCATAGTGTACATTGTTTGATGTTTTAACCCTACTTGGGCTATGCATGTGTATATCTAAATAGTTTGCTGATCTTTTATTTTGATTATTGGTAACCACAAAATATTTAGAAGATAAATATATTTATCAATAAATAATACTTGATACAAAATGAAATATTCTAATGTGTCTATCCATGATGGGTGACACTGTATGATCACTTTAAAATTTGAAGTAATAACTTAGATGCAATTATGATTGGTTAGAAAAAAAGTATAGTCATCTTAAATGAGGCACAATATAAACTATTTTATGTTTTCTAGGGTATATGTACATAGAGAAAATATTCTCTCTGTAGAATATTGCTTGTTTGTTCAAATTATTTACTTTCAATATTGTGTCATCCACACAGCATAGAATCTAACCACAAATGATGCTTTAAAAAAATATTTATTAATAATCAGTGGCTTTTGATTCAGGTAAGTTCAGAAACCTCAAGGGTTTCAAATGCTCAGAAGGAATTCCAGAACACAGTGTCATTGAAGTGAAAAAAGGATGCTTGTTCTTGTGGCATGCTTTATGCTTTAAGCCTGAACAGTTCTACCCAAAAAACATTGAGCTGCAAGCATCAGTGAAAAAGAAAAAAAAAAAGAATTCCATCCAGTCCAAATTTACAAATATATATAGAAAATACTCTATTCTTATACAGTTACAAAACTAAAACCTTGATATTATTGCTAGAAGAAAGGAACCTTTTCTGATGTACAGTACAATCTGAACAGAATTTCCATGGTGCCCCAGTAGCAATGCTATCAGCACTAGCTGAAAGCCAGTTATAAACACTGAGAAGATTACTTAAATGTTTATGACAACCACAGAGGCTGGGTGTGGTCTGTGCTTTTGCTGATAAGATGAGAAAAATGGTAAAGAAGGAAGCTTCTTTTAAACTGACCATATGAACAAAAAGTTTTGTAAGGCCATGTATGTGAATACAGTCTAAAATGACTTTGAAGGGAATGCTGTCTCTTCGTATTACGCCAAAGACTAAAATACTGTGTTACCTGCAGACTTATGAGAATTGCCATTCTAGTTGGTTAACTAGTTGATCACAGTTAACTTAGTAATGAAGGCTGTTATTCTTAGCATTTTTCCAAACAACTAACAGTGAATAGCCTCCAGCAAGCACACACTTAACTGATAACAGATGTAAATATAGTTCATTAAACTACAAGAAAAAAAGGCATTCAAACAACAAAAATCTATTGAATTACTTAATTTAGTTCAACATTTTCTCAAATGAGTAGATAGCAAATAGAGCACATTATAGCAAATTAATCATACAGAGCAGAGAGAGAACAAAGGTTTTATCTGCAGAACTGAAAGTACCTTGGCTTCTTAAGGAAATGTTACGTTCATGTTAAACATTAGAGACAATTATGTACATTAGAGACATTATGTACTTTACGTATGGTGGCACAAAAAATTCCTGGTCATGGGCCAGGCTCCCTTTGTGCCAGATAACCGTATGAACTCTGAATGCCATCACCACTGATTGTGTCTCACGTGGCTAATCATTACAAGCAGAGGTATTTCTGAAGTGGAAGATAGCTAGAATTACTGTTTCAAATATTCAAAGAGAAACACAACTGTTAAGCAAAAGACTTTAAAACACGTCTTTTGGGTCAGCTCTGCTCTCTTCTATACATTGAGCAGCAACAGCAGTCAAGTATGTATCAATGTAATTTTGGAACACTAATGTTGTGCACTCCCATTCACTTTGACACTTTTTCCCAGAGAAAATGACAGACAAGTGCTTGAACAGTTGGATCGGTTTATGAGAGAACTGAGATGGTGCTCCTTCCAGCAAAGGACTACTGCCCAGTGCTCCCACTCCTGCTGCAGCTGTAGCTTATGTTCCTAACACTATCACAACACTACAACCACCCCCTTACAGCTCAGCCCCCAGAGCAAGTGCAGGAGGATGAGTGAGGCTGTAGCTGCTGCTGGAGAGAGCGAGAGGGAGGTGCCAGCTGTGCGTGTGCAGGATGGAGCAGCACTTGCAGCTGTCAGTGGGAGGTGGGATGTGACCAGCTGCTCGGTACGTGGGCATGGACTGGTGTTGGTACGGGGGGCAGCCTCTGGATCCTGCTCAGCTCATGCTGCTGAAGTTAGAACCTATTTTATTGAAGAATAAACTGAGCTACTTGAACATGGTCCTCTCTGGAGTCACTTTCAAGATATGCTATCCTTTACAGAGGCAAGAAGTGCAGTCATGGCTCTCAGCTCTGTTCCTTCCACCTCTCTGCCAAGCTTGTGTCCTGTTTGTTAAGGCAGACCATTATCTTAGCAAGCTGTAATCTTGAAAAAGAAATCAAATCAAGATGAACCAGAGGGGAAAACAGAGGTTGCAACATATCTCTGTAGATTTTAGAAGCTCTGACGAGACATGCTGAGATACACAAGGTGAATACAGTGTTAGCAAATCATGAAAAAAGTCAATGGCTTGCTCTGGTTCTGTTCCACGTATCTTATTATTTGCATTACATAGCATGCACTGCTGATTATGGTGGCTAACAGAGGCCTAAAATGACACCATTGTTCCATCAAGTGACTATCCAACAGAAAAGTAAAAATAATCAAGTGAGTCTTTAGAACTATTGTTAATTTATAAAGGCTCTGAGGTGTTATGGGTTGATACCAGCCAGCAGCCAAGCACACATTTAACTGTTTGCTCACTCCGCATGTTCAACAGGACAGGAGGGAGGACAGAAAGAGCAAAAATGAGGAAACTTGTGGGTCAAGATGAAGACAGCTTAATAAGTTAAGGGGAGAGGGGAAAAAAGCCATACAGAGGCAGTCAGTCCCTATCTCCCACATACAGGCCAAGGCATAGTGGAGGTCCAAGAAACGGTTGCCCTGGAAGCTGCTCCCTGCATTCTTTCTCTATTCCATTTTATATTTCTAAGCACCTGTGTCATAAATAAAAATTGATCAATTTAGGCATATTTGTGTTTATTTGTCCTGAAGGTCTATTAAAAACCTGGATCACACATGGCCCAATGGAATAAATCAAATTCTCCTGCAAAACACAGCCAGCCTATGCTAGTCTTATTTGCTTGGCATGAAAACATCCAGGACCTTACCTGAGCTCTCTTTTCAAGTCCTCACCTATTGTGGAGCCTGAGTTTCTTATTCCAGCTTCAAGGGCTGTTTATGCATTTTGTATTTAGCTATAATGTGTTCAAGCAGAGACACAGGTCAAGAAAGACTTTGTGAATATTTCTGCCTCTACTACAACAGGCTCAAAGGATATAAATTTTTTTCCTGAAAAAGAAAGAAAACATGAACCATTCACCTTTTGTACTGGCATTTTCGTTTAAATTACAGTTTTTCTGCAGAGTTGCTTCAAATTTCTTCTCTCCAGATGCAACTCAGATTCATGACCACACTAATTTTTTCATCCAATAATTAATTAAACTTATAACTTTTTAACAAACAGATTACTAAAAATAATTCTAAATAATCTTCACTAAATCCATGTGTGCACTAACATCACATCTGATCTTCTGCCAGCTGCAGAAAACAAAATCTAAGATAAATGTTTCAACTGAAAAAGGATTTTGTTTCTATAGTACTGTCTCAAGGTTTGCAATTTGCCATTGCACAGTTAAGTGAAGCCTGTTGACTACTGAAGGAAATAACACCTTTAAGATCTAGCTGTGAACTAGTTTTGAAGCAGAGTGTCATGCTCCATAGGATGCTTTGTGATTTGTACTATCTTTTTTGGAACTGTGATTTTACTAAAAAAGATTATATTATGCTGAGGATAGCCATATTCAGGACAAATGTAGGAAACAACCACATTCATTCATACAGAAAGAGATTACAGCACACCAGCTAAGACTTGTGCTAGGATGTGCAAAGATGAAGAATGAGAATCAGAGCAGTGTTTTGGAGGGCCTGTCTCTAGCAGAGTAGGATAGGAGCAAAGAGCAGTCAGAAGAGCATCAGGGCAGCACCAGAGAAAGTGATATTTTGGGACTTGTAGTAAAAGGAAAAATACAACTTGGGTAGAGTCTTGGTTTGAGATCAGTGTCTTTTAAATGGGATCCAAGGAAAATATTTTCTTAATTCCCCATGGTGTTTAGGGAAATAGGTGTCTCTTTGATAATTTATATTACTGAGACCAAGGCATGACCAAGGACAAGTCCCAGGAATCCTATAAACAGCTAACTTCAATAGTCAAAAAAGTAAAAATACTGTACTAACAGCAATCTTATCTGTACAGTATGTTCTCTTACAAGGCTCTAGCTGGTTGAGGGAGAAGGGAGATGTATGTCTGGTTTTTTGCCACCTGTCATGATCTCTGATACTGACTACAAGTGTCTCTATGCACTCTGGATACCATTCCAAACACATCACTGACTCACCTCAAGTTCTTCTGGGATTCTTTTACCTTAACATGGAATGTCTTTCTGTCTCAGTGTAAACAATGGTATTTATTCATTTGAGCATCTGGACAGGCTGGATTGATGTGCCAGGGCCAATGGTATAAGGTTCACCAACGCCAAGTCCTGCACTTGGGTCATAACAACCCCAGGCAGCACCACAGGCTGGGGACAGAGTGGCTGCAAAGATGCCTGGTGGAAAAGGACCTGGGGTGCTGGCCAACAGCAGCTGAACATGAGCCTGCCTGTGCCCAGGTGGCCAGGAAGGCTGATGCCATCCTGGCTAGTGTCAGCAATAGCGTGGCCAGCAGAGCAGAGCAGGGATTGTCCCCCTGCACTCAGCACTGGTGAGGCCACACCTTGAATCTGGTGCTCAGGTTCTGGGCCCCTCAACAACACAAGGACATTGAGGTACCAGAGCATGTCCAGGGAAGGGCAGCAAAGTTGTTGAAGGGGCTGGAGCACAAGTCCTGTGGCACAAGGAGTGGCTGAGGGAGCTGGAGGTGAGGAAGCTCAGGGGGGATCTTATCCCTCTCTACAACAACGTGACAGGAGATTTTAGTGAGGTGGGTTTAGTTTCCTCTTCCAAGTAAGAAGAAAGAACAGGAGGAAATGGACTCAAATTGCACTGGAGAGGTTTAAGTTGGCTATTAGGAGAAATTTCTTTAGTTAAAGGGTTGCCAGGCCTTGGAAGAGGTTTCCCAGGCAAGAGGCTGGATCTCCATCCTTGAAGATATTTAGAAGATGTTGTACTCAGGACATGGTTAAATGGTAGACTTGGCAGTTCTGGGTTAAAGACTGGATTCAATGATCACAGAGATATTTTTCTTTTGATTTTTCCTTTGATTTTTCTTCCCAGGTCTTCCAATTCCCTAGCTTTTCTTCCCTCTTGCCATAGTAGGAGAAATATGGTCTTGTCACCATGCATGGAGCAGCAAAGACTTTAAAACTTTTTGCACCCCTCATTAACCACAAGCAAGCACTAGCAGAGTGCACTGACAATCTACATTAGGACTCAATACAGCCCTGGCCATGCAGGTAGACTTCAACGCCTCAAAGTTTTTACAAATCACAGTCAGATTTACCTGAGAGGACTGTAGAACAATCCCATTAGTAAAACAGGAAGCTGCATATACCAGTACCTTACAGTATGGATATTTGCCTACAATATTTTTTCAGAACTTTACCTGAGAATAATAATATATCTCCTGTGTAAAGACTGTATTGTTTTCCTGCTTCGTGACTCCTCAGAAGAGAAAGCAATTAATAAATTAAAAAATATTCTCATTTAACTTCTCCCCTATTTTTGCTCCTAGTTCATTAACAGGCATTGTAAACCACAAAATATCTATATAAAATAAATCATAAGTTACCTTATCTCTAGGCTGCTGATTCCATTCACTGGTTTTGTGTATTTTAATGACAGTCTAAGAATAAGAAACAGATTTTTAATGTTAGAGTAGTCAGCTTTAATTAGATCATTGTGACATTTCAATTTGAGGGATATATTGTAAATCAGTAGGCAATTACAAAAGTCATATAGCAAAGGTTCAGTACATTAAAAAATATGACTAAATATTTCTAGGGTTTTATTCACCCAAGAGCAGGTGCCTTCAAAGTAAAGGAAAACAGAGATCATGTTTCATTAATGTACTTCTAGCTGAGTTACTACCTCGTAACTGGCAATACTCCCCCTCAAGGGAATGAAATTATGGTCTCATTAATGCCAGTGGAGATTTTTGTGAGATCAGGCACACGGAAACTTGTTTGGACCAAATACAAACCAACAAGGAAGTGGAGAACATAAGAAGAAAAAAATCATGAAAATAACAGGCCTCATCTGAACAATTTTTGTGGTCTTGACTTAATTTCTTTCTTCTAAGAATATATTTTTTTAAAGTTTTGGATGCTTTAGAAGAAGACAATGGAAATAGCACTGATTTTACATTATATTTCTGAAATTTTTCAGAATTACATGTATTATGATACGAAATTTCTTATGCTACTCACGTTGTGTTGCTGTCTGAGCACTCAGAGGCAGAAATATCCACATTCTGTGTTAAAAATGTTGCATTTGTCAAATCTACTAAAACAGAACTGTTGGCTTTGAGGCTGAAATTACTAGCATAAAAAAGGATGCATGTATCATTTCCAGTGGTTACATTCAGAGGAGGATATGATAAACTTTCATCTTCCTCAGTAGCCATTAATTGTCGCCTTACTTTTGCCACCACATCAGTTCTTCTGGAAATCTGGAATAACAACACATTAACAATTCATCCCATTGTAAGAATAATTTCAGTAGAAAACAGACCTTCACCATTCTGTACCATGAGAACCTGTTCTTCTCAAATCCTCAATCAACCTCAACAGTTGTTACTGTCTGTCTATTTAACTGCTGGAGTGGAGGCTAATGAGGTTCCCAAGGCAAGGTGTCCACATGTGAAAATAAGCACCACTGATACTTGGCAAATGAATGTAAAACAATGTTAGTAGTGTTGCCTTAAGATACTAGAATTCATTTGTGCTAACAGGTAGAAGAATTTTTTTTCCCAGAAGAAAATACTGACCCTTAAGTAACAGTAACAGTTTTTGCAGTCTTCATTTTAACAAGCACGAGAGCAGTCTACTTAGCTACAGCAAGCTTATTTTTAGACTCTTCTGATGGCTTCTGGAAAAAGAAGACTTTCACGCATTTGGCTGATGTAGTGAACATCAGCCTACAAGAGACACATCTGCTTTTAGGATATTTCCAAGAATTTAGGATATCTGCATTAATATTTTGGCTATTTCCAGGAATTCCACTTGGCAGGCAATGCTTTTAAAAAATGTGCCCAGAGCATCCTTGGTAAAGCAGTCCCACAGATATCAACAGTTAAAGCAACCTTACCTTACCACACAACAAATTTATTCTGTTCTTATCTTATTCCTCACTTCTTACCCTGTTCGTATCTGGAATATTCCACCTACTTTTGAGTCCCATGTCAGCTTTACCACTTTGTATGCTACAAGTGGCCTTTACCCTTGTATAACTTTAAGGCACAAGAAATGAAAGGCATCACAAAGGTTACAAGGATTATCAGAACTGTAATTATGTGGAGCTATTGCCTGCAACTACTTTTCATGGGTTTAAAGACAGTCAAGGATCATTTTCCTTGACTGAGACTCTAAAAAACAGAGACTATAATATCGCTTTATCACCTGTCTGTGGAGAGGAGCCCCAGAAGATTTTGTCACCTGAACGGCTGCTCTGTAAACACCATTGGCCATCTGTTATTTACAGCTTGTCTTTGCAGGTACCTCATTCTATCAATTAGGCAGAATGGGCTGCATTAAAACCCTTTGAGTAAATGCTCCAGTGAAGAATGCAGTCTTCCCCTCCCATATATGCATACTTTATGAATTTCTTTTTAATTCAGAGTAGGGCCTTTTCAAATACATCAGAACAAGCTTTATTTTAAATGAATACCATGTTCTTTAAAAGAAGAGGGTACAACAAAAGAAAATATTCAACTTTTGATATAAAACTTTAAATCTTTCCTTAGACTTTCCTGAAATGTAATCATTTTGTTTCAAACTGAGAGGACAAGCTGAAGTCTAAATTATATCCTGTCTAACTATTGACTTTACTTTGTGGGGCCCATGTATTTAAAGAGGGCTTTAAAAACCACCTGCTAAGAGTTGAAAACAATGCTACATTGGATACTGTGACTGGGATAACTTTGGGGATTAGGTCGAAGTACCTTAAAATAAAAAGAAAGCTATTAAAATATAATCATAAGACTACAGCTTTATTTCTATTGTTCTCTGAGCAGTACTTTGCCATGAGGCTCTTACATACAGATTCCCTGTCTCTCTCAGAAAGCATATGAACCAAAAGAGTGTAAACCTGGAAAGAAGGGCTTTCAGAGGCAAAGAAATCCACTCGTTTGACAGGAATAGGCAGATCCATCAGGTCAATGCATGGCTCCAAGGTTGGTGTCAGTGGAAAAATTTTGTTTGTTGACCATGGGATAATCTATTCAACATGTGGTCCAGTGACACCTGACAGGATGCAACAGCCCAGAGGGGAAGAAGAGCTCTAGCCCAGGAGCCACTGGGGCTTGATGACAAAGCCTTAAATGAGCTTGGAAGGGGGAAAGGAACAAAACCAGGCTGTCCAATGGTAAGCAATGAGATGCTGTGCCAAAACTTGGGGAAATGAGCATTAACAGGATCCCTCAATCTTCTTCCAACTCAGATATTCTGTGATTCTGTGAATTAAGCATTCTTGAAATCAGAGAGAGATATTTAAAAATTTAGTCTTCAGGATGGAAGAAGGATCTCTGAAACAGCCCAGCCTGGGACCCATTGGAGACCTGAGGACAGCAGGTGCTCCTTCCAGGTAACTCCAGTGGGAAGCTGAGAGCTTCCACACTATGTCCCTGTTTCTTTGTTTAAGGAACATTTTATTTTTCTCTTGTTGCTGCACAAACATGAGTTTACTGAATCAAAATCATTCTCCGATGTCATATATTTCATGCTAAACTATAAATTACAAGACACTTCTTTGACAAATGGATTATATTTACACTGAATTACTGTAAATCAAATTAGATTATTTAGGAACAATACCTCGTGGAAGTGTTGCCAGTCATTACACCATATTTAATTCTGTCGTTCAGTGTGCTCTTCTCCTTCAGCTAATCTGAACTGAGGGATGTGTGAATCACTGTCTTATTCTCTGAATTTATCAATGGCATTTTGGATCTCAGTCATGCAGTGAACAACAGCAAGACCTGATTAAATAATGTACAGGAAACCAAGAACTTACATTTTCCTAGACCACAATGGGATGTTGTAATTACTAACTGAACCTGCAACAGAGGTAGTCTGAACAAACTTCTTCCCTTTGATCTGATTTTCAAGTCTCCTAATTCAGAATCATTTCTCTTGAAAACAAGAAAGGAAGCAGATCTGGGAACATTTTGATACACCAACATAGAAATCTTTTTCAAAGCAAGCAGATCTTACATCCAAAATTACTTGTTTTGTTGTTGTTGCCACAATTTTGTTGGCTCTTCCAACACAGAGTGGCTAGACACAAGAAGAAAGATTTGGGGCCATTTTATACATTTGAAATTATAGTTGAAAACAAATATAAATCAAACAGTTGTAAACACATACGAAAACCATACAAAATACTGTGAAAATGAAACTTTCATTTGCTGAAATGATGAATGGCAATGAACAACAGAAACAGATTACATTTTACACTGGCTACAACATGGGATTTTTGAATATCAGTTCAATAGATTATTGTGTCTTCTGTTTCAATAATTTGTTTTTTGACTTCTTATTGCTGTGTTAAAGTGTGCACATCAAGAATAAGAAACTGTCCTGCTCCTTTTCATTTCTAACAACATAGATTTATGACCACATCCTCTCTGTGGGATTGCTGCTCTTATTGAAAAGGTATTTCTGTACTTTCAAGGAGGGAGGTGAGTGGTCAGAAGGGTCCATTCCCTTTCTCTTTTTAGGCTGTATCTTAGCTTAGACCATACATCCATACTACTCTGTGCGCTACAGTGTGTTCTCTGTATATACCTGACTTAGATGGCAAATAGCAATTTTTCCAAGGTAAGTCATAACCTGATTAAGCCAGTTGTTAATATTGCAAAACTACATAAGGATCCTAGCTTCTACTTTAAAAAACAAAAAAAAAAAAAAAAAAAAAAAAAAAAAACCAAAAAAACAAAAAAATAATTTAGGGAATGCATGTAAAGACAAGTTCAAAATACATTGTAAAAATGAGGACAAAGAATTTTTTTAGATCACATATGATGCCCTAAATAATGAAGTGAAAGGTCCAAGGAAGGGAGGGCAGGTGCTGCAACTGCTACAATAACACCACAAAGACAAATACCTTTTATCTGAACTGGATTTGGTAGAACTGTATCTACATATCATGTACCAACTCTAGTTATTTTCACAGGATACTGAAATAACTGTATGCTTACATTTTCTCAATTTGCTTTAACAGGGACCATCAAAATCTTTTTTTTTTTTTGCAAGATGTCCTTTAAGAAAATGACACTAGGAGGTTGCCATGGGCTCAGTGGAGGGGTACTGCAAAATGGCAGATCATGCTTCTTTCTGGGGTTTGGCTGTGGCATATCAGAAGCCACTCAGCATTCACATCCCAGCCAAGTATCAGCACATTTCAAATGCTTTTTCTGAAATTATCTTTTCAATATTCCTTCCCACACAAACAGATCAGTTTTCCTCCATGCTTTCTATTTGATAAGGCCTCATGGTTTCACTATGGATAGCATCAGCACCACTTCCGTGAATACACAATTTTCCTGAAGGATAGTGTATCACGAATCTGTGATGCAGGCAATCTCACTGCTAAAGGTCAACAATTTCAAAGGCGAGCATTAGAATTTGGTATAACTGTAAAAATGTTCTTTATGGTGTCAAGTTTACAAAATCACACATGCAGCAAACAGAAATGTATTTGATTGGACTGCATTCTTTCACCTGTCAGTGGAAGACTGTAGCATAACAGTGTTTTAAGCTGTCAAAATCTAGAACATTAAGCAGTTACCAATTATCTCTATTTCTAAAAGTTTTAACTGTTTACATTTTTATGATTTCTAACATTTTGGGATTTTGTTTTTTAATTCCCCTCTAGACTGACTTGTGGCTGCTTCAGACCTGGAAGTGTTTAAGGCCAGGTTGGATGGGGCTTAGAGCAACCTGGTCTGCTTGAAGGCATCTCTGCTCATGGCATGGGGGTTGGAGCTGGATGATCTTTAGGATCCCTTCCAACCCTATTTTATGTATTTGTACTACAACTGTAAGCATAAGCAAGACATCAGAATAAATTTTAATAGCATATTGATGTTTTTTTTCCCAGAAGAGTCCTTGACCTCTATTTCCCATCTCTATTATTACTCTGATGAAGCAGGTAAAAAAGAATGCACAGAGATGTGCATTCATTTATTAACAGTGATTACAATCATTGTAGTGCCTTGCATATATGACCAACCTTACTGTCTCACATTAGTATCTTATGGCTTCCCTCTTGAACCATGCACACTTCTAGCAGCAAGACAAATGGCCCGGCAACTGTGGCACTCAGTTTGTACCTGGTGTTCTGCATCACTCAGAGGTTTTCACAAAAACAAGGCTGGGACACGAACGTTAAAGTCAAAATGCAGGTCTTACAGTGAGAGATAATGATCTCACTGTAAAACATAACGTTCTC